CCGGCTTGCTGGTTTTCATGTACATTGAGAAAATCCTTTGCATTTTAGTCTGAAGAAGAAAAATGACGACTAGAAGGGACTCCGTGCAGCCTTAGTAGGGCTCCCGTGTGAGCTGCAGGGTGCCCTGTTGTGCTGGGTGAATTTTGGGGCTGGACATGAGGTTCTGTTCTCTCACCGGGACGTGGTAGCACCAGGGATATCTTAATAGGGGAAGCCCTTGGGTTGTCCCTTGTGTTTTGCATCTAGCAGAAGTGTATGAAGGTGAGCGTGGGAGGAAGGTGCAGCAACCACGTTACTTTCTCCCCCCAGCTTAAGGGAAGAGAATATTGGAGAAAAACAAGATCACGTTATTACCTGAACCATGCAACTAACTGAAGCCTGAGCTACCTCCGCTGAACCGTGCGAGTGGGAGGAGTTGGTTAGTCACCGAGGAAGGCAAAATGTCAGCGTGACTCACGGTGCGGTGGCAGGAAGGAGGGATGCGGCTGGTTCCTCAGCAGCAGCCCCTGCCCAGGACTGTCCCCGAGCCCAGRGCAGCAAGGACCGGGTCTCTGCGCTTGTGCTGGGCGCCCTGCTGCCCCTCGGGAGGTTACGGCCCTGCTCCTGGCAGGGGAAGGTGGTGCAGGGTGTTGTAAGCAGTAAGTGTTGACCTGTTGGAGGTGTGAACACCTGCAGCTGAGGTGTCGTGGGTTGTACCTGCTCCTCCGTGGTTCCGTTCAGGATAAAAATATTAGTGCGTGTGTTTTGCTTCTGCCCCATCTCTGAGAGCGCTCACAGGAGGAATGCCTTTGTGAAGCAAAATACTGGTTAGTCTCCTGCAGTTCTCAAACAYCAATATATTTTCCCTCTGGTTCTGTTCACTGCTTCTCCCATTGCACCCAAACTGTGGGATGGTGGATGTTGCCAAAAGATTGCCGTGGAAGGTGACGAGGTCGGCAGGAGCCCCGGTGGCTCTGGGCTCCAGCTGGATGGCAGCACCAGCAGAGCTCTTAAAACACGAGCAGTTTTGATGGCAATCACAGAAGCAGCTCCATGTCGGTCATGTGTCTTGAGAAAAACGGCCCTTCTCATAGTATTTTAAGTCACTTGGCTTTTGCTTTGCCAAGTATCAGATAATTTCTCAGATACGAGCTACTGTTTCTTACACTGATAGCAGCCATCGCCGTATCTCTTACCCTTCCTGCTCTGGTGGTTTTGAAGAGCTTCTTGGTGTGTCTGGACCGTGTTGCAGTAGCACGTGAAGGGTTTGTTTTGCCTTGCCTGTTTCTCAGGTGATGCTGCGGCTCCGAGCTTTCCTCTTGGATGTTTCCTCTGCACTTACCTGCCTCCTTGCAGCAGAACAGTGACATAATTCTGCATTTATGTAGTGTGTTTTACYGTGGGAAGGTTGAATTCCCAAATTTCAAATAAAACTAGTTTTTTTGAACACTTATTTAAAAAAAAAAAGACAGCAAAATTGGCTGATTTGTCAAATGCAGTCCTGCCACAACACAAATAATTTACAAACCCACCAATTATTCCTAAAAACTCCTATTGATTTCTTGTTTACATAGGTGCTACTGGAAGCACCTATGCTTCCAGTATTTTTTTGCAACTGTGCTAAAAATGAGATATTTCTGTAGGCAAATTTTTGACTTGCAGTAAGAATGTGCCAAGAAAAGGAATTATCTGAAGTGCTAAGATGATAYGTTTGTTGTCATAGTGTTTAATTTTGTAAAGCCTTTAAGCAGAAGTAAGTACTTAAGTGAAAAAGGTGAGCTRGTTGGCATATATATAAATGAGTCGCACTTAAGTAGCTGATATACCTGCTTGCATGTAAAGCTTAGAATCATTTAAATAGCAGCWGTGCTTGCAATAGTTCTATAACAAAATGATATATCTCAATGGTAAAAAGTAATGTRGTTTATATAGGGTCCCCCACAAGCAGATAAGCTTGATTTAGCTGCTTGGGCGAGAGGTGAGCCCTTGCTGCACTGTGGTACTGCTGCTGTGATGTCGGATCCATTCCTTTACTATGCAAATTGTAAGTATACAAAGATTCAGTACTTTTATTTAAGAAATATGCCCAGAGGCTGTATTGGTAGGCTTTGGGGAGATATCTGGTTTGGTGTGAAATAAATAGCTGTTAAAAGATCACATGGATGCGCGTCTTAGAAGATGAAAAGTGCTGCTGTGAGCACTCGAGGAAACCCTGTACCTGGCACGTGAGGATGATGCTCGGTTTGGATTGTCAAACAAAATCTTGCCGAGCTCACAGTAAATCACAGAGCTACGGGCTGGGGCAGGAGGATAGTGAAGAAGTGTCAAATTAAACTTCAGGATTAGGATGGTCAATTCTGACAGTCGCAGCCTGAACCTCCAGATTTGGTTGCTGAGGGAAATCCTGCTCCTGGAAGAAGCGGTGGTTTTCCCAGGAACTCGTGTCTTCAGGTCATTTGAGTGCTCAGTGGGTTTACACACYGAAATCCAGGCCTGAGTGCCAGCCATGGGCATCCAAGCCTGAACATTTTGAGTGAAATGGGAGAGAAAAATTACTCTGAAAGCATGTGAGACTTTGAAGGATGCTTTGGTACTTGTGGTGGAGGTTGGAAGTTTCCCTTGCTAAAGAAAATGAAATGTTTCCTTAGCTTATGCTAGTCCCTGCCTAATGTGGGAAGATGGGGGCTCGTTCTTTAATAAACAATTTCAAACCACAATACCAATTTGATAAATTACTCCTTGTAAAACAGCTATTGCATTAAGCTTGACCCCTTTTTTTTGCTGTCAAAAATAATAATCAATTCCTCTCCATTTTSAAATTCRTTCCTGATACTGTTTTCTTGTCCTATTTTACTCTAATCCTGTCCTGTCACTGTTYCTGCAGCATAGTCTTCCAAAACGCGTGATCATAAATGAACATCCTTCCCAACATTGTGTTACAAGTTCAGTACATTTGCAGAAAAGCAGCGTTGAATGGATAATATCCTTTGAAATTAATAATCTCAGTGGTTGTCTGTGTATGGGAAGGCTATTGCTGATACAGGTTACAGTTGATTGAATAAACTGGAACACCAGTGTGTGCYGCTGCCTGGCTTTGTTTTAAGAGCATCTTGTAGAATCACAGAGCAGTTGAGCTTGGAGGAGACCCTGGAGCAGCCTTGGCCAAGGCCCTGCTCCACRCAGGGTCAMCCAGGGCACGGGATGAATTTGATTTCTCTCCTTCATGACTTTATATTGGAACAATTTCAAACACCAAATGCTGTGGCTTTTATTTATTAAGTATTTTTTTCTGAATTTATATGGAAAAACCATTCCATGTRTCCTGTAATTCGTGCTGTGATTTAGGGATACAACGAATAGTATTGATAAAGCAAGAGGTTGCTTTCAATGTATGCGGTGGGTATGATCTGGTTTTTGTGATTTAATAATTTCTTCTCTGCAAACTAATAGATCTGTATGTTTTTTTTTGTTATTTGTCATATTTGTGGCAATAAAACATAAAAACATAAAAGAAAGAGAAACTCAAGGGCCAGAACTCAAAAAGGGAGAACTAATAAAAAATCCATGGGATAATTCATGTTGCAGGAGACCCATGAAGGTCATCTAGGCCAACCTCYTGCTTCAAGCATGATCAGTTATGAACATATATATGGGCAACAGAGKAGGTAATTATAGGATACGTACTATGTGATCTTCTGTAGTGTCTGTATCTAGTGTAACTTTCTAGTTTACATTTACATGCAACTTTCTAGTTTACATTAAAGGATATGACTCAGAAGGAAGTATTTCTGTTTCTTTGTGTTACATTATGATGTGCTTTGCAAAAGGTTTTGGTTGCTTTTTCTCAAGACTTCTGACAGACACACCAAAATCTCCAAGTGAAGCAAGTCTCTCTTTTTTTGACTTTGTTCTGGGTTTATATATAAAATACATAAGTGTGTATGTATCTGTACCTAGAGCCAATAACGCCTTCATTGTAGGTGTTTCCTTTTTTCTGCAAAGACTCAGTAAATTTAACCATTACTATAAAATACTTGCAAATGTATCATTTCTGCAAAGAACTGCAAGTTTTTCTTTTGGCATTTGAAAGGCAGAAAGAAGGGGCTACCACGACAGTGTTTTATTAATGAATGATTTACACTGATTCCAGCTGTGACCGTGCGATTAGCCATTCACAAGCAACAATGGGTATTTTCTTCCTGCTTTTATTTTATTTCCAAGAATGTGTCATCTGTTGCATAAACTGCTGCCAGTATACCCCATGTAAACTGGTATTTTTTTTATTTCCCTGAAGCATAAGATGAATTCCCACCCAGATCCCCTTGGAAATTCTGCTTTAAATGACTTGGGCATCTTATTGACTGTATTTGATTCAGCATGCCCAAGTCATAAAACTTAAAATATTTATTAAACGCACCAAACTCTTTGCAGGGTGTCTCCTTCCCTGGTGGAGCAAGAGATGGATTATTTTCATTTCTACATTTCTAWCTTAATATTTTATTACAGCAATACAATGTGTTATAGAGGTGGACAAGGCTGCAGATTGAAATGTGGATAGTCCAGATTGTTCCTTTCCCTGGACCATATGGTGTAGTTCTAAAAGCCTTTTGTATGCTGTCTGTTTAGCTAATTGTAAACTCCGTCTTCAGCGTACCTTAAAAATGAGATATATGTGAACTACGAGTTAGTATATCCTGCCTGTAAGCAGGGCTTCTTTAGAATGCATGTGAAATCATAGACCTCTGTGCTGGCCTCTTGGTAGTCATTCCTAGCTGGTGCATTTAGCGTTTCTAGGTAATTAACATGAGTTTGCATGTGGAGGGGCAGTATTTCCCACTAAACGCTTGGGGAACAGGAGCCATCTTCGTCTGTAATGAACATTTCAAACTMTTTCTGCTTGGCAGACGGCGCTGCCAGTGGGTGATGTGCAGGAACATCTAAGATTCCCGGCAGATGGATGGTGGGACTGCGGCTCCACCTACACGAGATGCAGCTTGTGATGTGCCCGGCGCTCCTCTCCTGCCCAAGCAGCTCCTGCTCACGCTCCGCTCGGATGTTGCCCCCGTTGGGGTCGGGAAGAGCAGAACCAGGTCTCACTTTGCCCTCCAATGCGCCCCAAGGAGAGGACATACTCAGGTCCTCGCTGAAAGCAAAGCCTTTATTACGGAGAAAAAAGGTGTGCTTAAAAAATAAGCTCTGGGGAGTCTAGAAGACAGTTTTATTTTCTATTATCTTTGTGTTGCAGGGGGAAATGGGTTGGGAAAAGTGACAGTTCTCAGTGAAGATGCTCGAGCTGATGCTTTTTATTTCCCCCCTCCCTTTCCATGTAAATGTCTTTCAGTGGAACTGTTGTTCTGCAAGTCACAACCTGTTTTTAAGCACTCCAGTGAGTTTCTCATTAGTGGCAGATTTTACAGTAGGCAAGGCTCGTGTCATTTGTGGCTCTGCAGAGAAAAATTCACTAAAATAATAGTAAWAATATCCCTCCTCCCCAAACATTGGGAATCGAGCAAAAAGTAAATGATGGTAGTAGAGAAGGAGACTTAATGCAGTGGGAGAGGCTTCTTCTAATGAAAACTTATTGATCTGTGCTGCATATCTGAAGGTTTCAAAGGATTTCAGCCCTTTGTTCTCTCTCCAGCGTGGCATAGAGCAAATAGGTGTCTTGGTGGGTACTGGGTGGCCCACAGGGCTTTCTAGGCACACATAGGTAGGCTCCTTGGCTCGCTTAGAAGTGCTCATGGAAGAGGACATGGAAAGAAGCATTGGAGAAGACATTGCGGAAGACCCAGGAGTGAGACAGCTGTGGTTTAGTGAAGGACTTGGCATTTGAGGGTGCTTTGGCGTGGAGGAAGGTTTGGKAGGCACCTCCGAGAGGTTAACCTACTCCCATGCTGTCCCTCCTGAATTTTACGAGGTTATTGAGAAAGTTTAAAGAGAGAGAAAATAAACAGGTGATGTAGGACTGAGGTAAGTGGTAACAGTATAAGGTTCACCTTGCTGAGGGGGAGACGAGGCAGAAGCCCGAAGGGGAAGGGAGATCAGGGGTTTGCTCGTGTGACAGTTCATGAAGTGATCTGTGTTTCCTTTTTACCTTCATTGTAAGAGAAATTCTTTCGAACCTGTCTATAAAGGTAAGCCTTTAAGCCACAAGCCAAGTATTTTTCTGTCTTTAAATCTTTTCCAAAGTTGTTGGAGGCTCCATTTGGAGGTCATGTGCCTAGGAAAAGGCAATAGTCATAACAGCGGGTCAGTGACATTCGGTGCGCGTGTGAACGTGTGTGTTTGCAGTGGAGTTCAGAGCAGTGCAGCTGTCGGGTCAGGAGAAACTTTYGGACAGAAGTATTAGGAAGGAAACTCGAGAGAGACATTTTTGAGTGACAAGAAAACTATTGAGGAGTTGACTTCACTAGAATCTGTTTCTCAAGCTTTTTTTTCCCCATTCAGAATCAGCATAGGGTAGGGAATAGCCAAAATAACCTTTCCCGTTATGGTCAAAAGGAAATCCTGGATGCTCATCAACAATTTTCTGAGAATCGATTGCCCTTCTAGGCACAAACTCTATGAACTTTGGGGGGTGCCAGCAGATGCCACAGCTGTCGTCGGACAGGAAGCAATTCTAGATTTCATCAGTGTGTCAGGATTATTTGTAAATAAGCAAAAGTACCCAGGTTGGTCTGCGTTTATTAGCCACTCGTAGATGCCTTGTGTGCTGGGGCCTAGCGCATGGTTGAGCATCTCCTATGATTTAAATACACACAAAGAAGCGTCTTCATGGTGTTAACTGGGAGAAGGTGCAGCTGTTGTTAAGGGCAGAAGTTTTGAAGACTTTTCCTCTGCTTTCTCTTTTGTCAACTGGAAGGCGACACTGAGCAGGTTCTTTAAAACTACCCAACGTCACCACTGGAATTCTAGCAAAGGCCAAGAAAAGCACTTAATTTTGTTTATATACTYTTCAGTATTAAATGTTAATATATGAAAATGATTGCGCTTCACCTTTACAGTTTATACTGTGCGACTTGCTTGACAGGGAAGAAGTTTTTCTAACCTCAGTGCTTGGTGCATGTGAGATGAAGGTCTGTGCAGCCTGGGGCTCGCAGCTCCCTCTCCCACAGCACCACAGGCTGTAGTTGGCCCTTGCAGAAGCTCCAGCAGCCCCTGTTGTGGCTGAGTGCAGCCCCTAAGGCTGTTCCAAGTCTCCTGAGTACCTGGCTCGTTCTCTCAGAATGGATTTCTAAGCGAGACTGAGAACAGCGACAGATCTTCAAGCTCGCTGGTAAAACGTGTGGTATSTGCAACCTGGAGATGAACAAGTTGGGAATACGCATCTCATGCATGTTTGTGGGACCTTCTCGTAATGCAAGTTCCCTTAGCTCTGAACTTTGCAATTAAGTTGTTTTTCTCTGTACTACATTACAGTGCACTGTGTTCAGTACTACAGTATGATGRTAATTACAGCTTTACTTACAGCCCTGAGCTCTTAAAAATATACCTGGCTTCGGGAGGAATGTGCTAGATACTCTACTAATGGTTCTTCAGTGGTTACACCTTAACTGGTTCGTGAATGACAATGTCATTGTGTTTTTGGCGTGTTGCAGTACGTGCAATTTTGGTGAGGATTTCCTGCTTTTAGAAGGAAAGTTTGAAGAGAATGGCCAGCATGACTCAGAGGCAGGATAAATGCTTAGAGACCTTCAGACATAAGGAAGAGCTCCTCAAGTGACGCCAAATCTGAATGTTACAAATAGGTTCATGGTTTGTTATGAAGCAAAGTCCAAATAAAACTGTTGACTCTCTTTCGTGACAAGCTGCAATGCAGCTTAAGTGCTGCAGCCGGATTTTGGAGGGTGCGGTGGAAAGAAAGTTTTTAAGGCACTTGTTTGGCTTTCTGATGGCGATGATTTTAACGGCATTTTTCTAGTTTCAACAATCTGATAAACTTCAAGGAAAGTTTTTCATCTTGCTGGTCAGGCTTCTTCATCCTCTTTGCATGCCCCTTTATCTGTGGCTTTGCTAAAATAGCAAAGCTTTTCTTTGTGCCTCTGGGGTCTCTCCCGGACGTTAAYATTTACCCTTATTGCAGTAGCCGTTTCTAAAACATCAGATCAGACCCTAAGCTTGTTTACAGAATAACCAGYTAGCTTCCAAGAAAGAGATATCTTAATTCATAGAAAGAAATTATATCCTCCAATGCTTAAGGCTGTCGTAAGTACTCTTTATATGTTATGTGGCATTTACTATTGAATCTGAGTGTTTGCAAGGGATTTCTTAAATGGACCTCGTGTTGACWGGACACAAGTCACAGGGATCTGTATTTCTGGTTCTCAGAGCCTCACAGTATGAACCATTGGTCCCTTCTTCTTTTGAGAAAATGAGCTGCACAAATGGAAGATTAAAAGTGATTTCATCTGTTTTAGTCCATAAGTACTGAATAATTAACATTAAGGGCTGCATGCAGGTGATTTTCCTAACCTTGAAGCTAATTTATGAACCATGAGAATGTCATATCCAAACTACTGCAGAGATCTGGTACTTTTATGATGTTCCTTATAAACAAAACAAAATCTGATTTACTCTGCTCACTTGCAGAAGAATTTTGTATAAGTCCTCATGGTTATGGCTTTAAATTGCTTGTACTGTAGGCCTTTAGGTGAAGGGGAAGACAGGTACGTTTGGCACTCCTGTTTATGTCCCTTTAACACCATGACAGCATTTCATTGTGAAAATACTTGGCTGGCAAGTGTTAGGGAGTTCTGTATTTGTCCTGTAGTAACCAATTCTGTGTTTATAATCTAAAATTTTATTACTTTGAATACACTGTAGAAAAGAAGCAACTTTTTGATGTGGGTGGAGAGTTAATGGTGGCTTCTTTGAATCAATAAGATGATGCAAACTGCTAGCTATCAAATAAAGTTACTCAAAGGAGTTACAGGGCATTTTTTTRTATGTTTACCTTCTTGTAGAGAAACCATTTGGAAGCCGAGACCCACCGTGGAACACATTTCTCATCGTATTCCTAATAAATTGGAGGAATTTCGGAACRCCAGCCCATTATTACCAGACTGGTGCTTTTTCTATAATAGGGAACTAGCAACTAATATGTCTCCTGTCAAGTTTAAAAATAGTGCTACTTCTCCCATTACCACACCTATTAGTTCCCCGTCTGCTCCGAGATATTCTAAATCAAGTATCTTCCATTTATTTAAACCTAATGTCAGCCATCAAATAGATATTAACAAATTGATAGTAGTAGATACAGTGCTGAAAAAGAAGCTTGTTGCAAACTGGSTTGGCTCTTCAAGAAGCCTCGTAGTAAGTTGGATAGAACCAACATCCTGCAAAGCAACCCTATCAGCCTCTGTTAGAGTAAATCATCATTATTCCAGGGTTCTGAATTACATGACAAAGAGTTCCCGGAGCTTATAATTAAGTGTTTAATCAGGGTAACTGATTTTCTGAAAAATACAATTGCATTACTTTTTTAGGTTATGCCCCCATTACATTTGTTTTGCATTCTGAAAAATGACTGAAGTTGCCCAAAGTGTTTTAGAACTTTTTCCCAAGGCTGCTTGGCTGCGGTGTACTCGCATCTCCTTCTTCAGTAGGTATATGGAGACCGTTAAAGGGGGGAAGCAAGAGAGCAAGTCAGGGGCAAGGGTGTTCTTGCTCTTCTGGCGATGGGTGCCCATGTCTATAGTCATTGCCTTGTCAGAGTGAGGACCTCATTTCTTCATCCCACCTCTTTGCTGTCTTTTCCCATTCTCCTTTGGCCTAGAAGTGGAGAAACGTCCTCCTAATTAAGTATGGCAGTGCTTAATTTGCGTTCATTAATCTGAACATGCCAAAGTAGCTTAGACCTACATCCCGACACCCACGAAGTTTCCCTGCTGCCCTCCTCGGAGGAGTGTTTAGTACCACGTACAATCTTTATTTGGTCARTTAGACATGTGCAAAGCGGGGTCTGTGCTGTAACTGCTGTTCCCAGGGTGCTGGGAATCGGGAGATTGGTCAGAGAAGTTTCCCTCAAAGCGTTTCCTCCAAGTGCTCTGCTCCAGAAGGAGGTTCCCGCTTCCACGCGGCGGTAGCGGCTGGATGCGGTTTGGAGGGAACCAGAAATGTGATGCACAGATGTTGCTCTCGCTGGGAGGAAAATGATTCGCTTTGTTTGGTGAGGAT